TGATGAAGAAAACTCTCCCACCAGAAAAATCAGGCACAACCAAGTCCCTATCATCAGTCTTCTACATAGGAATACCTGACAAAGAAAAAACAGTCCACCTAGAAATTATGTCTAAAGAAACAATTTATGACATGGCGCTTCAAATAGCCTTCTAAAAGAAAAACATTTCACACCCCCTTCACCACTTTCAAAAAATCATTCCAGGATTAGATAAAATTGTTCCAGTATGGAAAGGGTTCTATAGGGCTCCAGCAAGAAGGAAAGATGGTGACATCAGCTGGCGGCTGGTTCATAATATCATTGTTACCACAATCCTAAAATCCCGGATAGATCCAACCATATCGCCAAGATGCCCCTATTGTGATGAGGATGGAACCTTGCTGCACATGTTCATTGAATGTAAACAGCTAAAGAATAATGGGACTTTCTCAAAGAAACATTGCATCTCATTTCAACTGAGATTGTATTGAACGTAAACATGTATGTGTTTCACACTTTTCCACAACGTTCCATCCTCCCAAAAAGAAATTCACCTTTAATAGATTTCCTTCTGGTGTTATTGAAAAGTAAGATCTATGAATCATATATGAGTTTTTTCTCCCAAACAGGAAGGAAGGAGGAACCACTGAAACTCTGGAAGAAATCATTGAAAAAGCAGATAGATGATCACCACCTGTTGACCGTACTGAAGAGGAAAAATGAAGAAAACTTTTTATATTGGGAGCCCTTGGCTACAAATGATGGAGGGAACCTGATCTTCCATGTGGACTTGGAGACCTGAGAATTCATAATATGATGTTTTTATGCACTTGAAGATTTTATTCCATTGTTAAAATAAAGTCCATTTGAAAACCCAGCATTTCCAGAATTTGATTGTGACAAGAAACTGCACGCCCATGCGGGTTACGCCGCTTCTTCCTTTCCCCGTCCGGACAAACTGTATTATACTAGTACTATACTCGCCTCAATCCAATGGGACATTTCCCCTTTAAAATATTTTGCCGATACATGGCGATGGTCGGAAAAAAACGATAGATATCTCCAACTATCGATAGTGTTATCGATGCATCGATCTATCGTGACAACTCTAATTTTTACCGCAAGGACCATTTCATCCTGAATTATGATTAAGAAAAGAGCGAAGGGAGGAAAAGCCCAATCCACGCTAACTGAAAGGAAGCGAAGCTTCGCTAATCCCCTGACGGAGGGTGGAAACATGGGCCTCGTGAACAGGCCGTTCATGGTTCACATGGTGTTGGGGCCACTGCCCCCGGGCGGATCGAGAAAAAGGGGTTTCGACCGCTGCACGCGCCCATGGATAAGACCCCTCTTCCTCCGAGCAAGGAAAAGATGGAAGATGAAGCTGATTGACCTGCCATCGCTCCGAGGCAGGTATGGTACTTTTCCTCCACCGGAGGCGAACCACTTTGAAGGTTTTCTTGTCTAGGAAGGGGGAGAATTTCGGAGGACTATCTTCACTGTCATCTTTGTTCCCCTTCGTTCCAGGCTGCATGTCTGCACAGATGCCTGAAAAAATACGAATACATTTCCTCCATACCATTCTTCTTCGCCATCGTTATGGCCTCATGGAATGAAAGAGAAAGTCGTTCAGAACGATATTTCAAATGGCGCATGGCATGCTTGCATTGTTCTACAGTGTTCGGGTCCATCCCCTCAACGAAATTCTGAAACGTCCTGTAATCTTATGTAATTAATGTGGTAAGGTTCCTCTGAATAAATTTTATTCACATAAAAATTATGGAATCAGTATAATGCAAATATTTGTGACTGTCACCCCTTTTTCTGTCTAGCTTGAGGACAGGGAAGGGTAAAGGAAGAAACTGCAGGAAACAGCTCCGCATTCAAGCCTCCTTTATTCATTTTCTCTGTCCTTTCCCGCGCTAGTCAAGACGGCAACCCCCCCGTGGCAGTATTATGAACTCATACCGGAATGAAGCCGTTCTCTCAATTTTGAGGGGAAAAAGAGGGAAAACCAGTTCGCCTTATCTCTCTTCTCCGAATTCTAGAATTCAACCTCTCTTCCGATATGAGAGCGGGAGAAAAAACGGTTTCCGATCTAATTCGAGTACAAGCGGGAAAAAAACGTCAGGAAAGGAGCCGCAAGCAATGTCTCGATGGGTGGTTGCCGGACAAAATGGTCACTGCGGTAAAAAATTATGACAGCTCATCAAGGGATAATAATTTCAATAATTGTATCATCTATCCATGACAACCTTCTAACATTTGTTTTTTTTTTATTGCCTTGAAGGTTGAAAGCATTGGGGACCATGATTCAATGAAATATTTATTTATACCGTTTCATCATGTGTTGAAACAGTGTTAAATGTTCACCCTCTTTCTCATTCGCCTTCCTCTATCTCGCCCATCCTCCTCTTGCATCCCAATTTAAAAATATATATATTTAAAATACTTATTTTATAATAAAAAAATATTTTTAAAAGGACCATTTTATCCCATTCCTCATTTAGTACCAAAATGTCCAGGACCAGGATGTCCAGGATTGGATAGACAATATAAGTAAAAGAGCAAACACAGGAAATTATTCCGATTCTACGCTAGCCAAAAAGGAAGGGAACATTCGCTAATCCCCTTTAATCTGAGGGAGAGCGCGAACATGGCCTTGTGAACGGCTTGGATCGCATGGTGACGGGGTCGCTACCTCCGGCGGACCTAGAAAATGGCTTAAAATTTGACCGCGAACACGAGGCCATAGGTAGGACCCATCCTCCACTCCTCCGAGTAAGAAGGAAAAGGATTCAAGGTGAAGCGGATGCCCTCGGCATCTCTCCAGGGCGGGTTTGCTCCATCGGAGAGGTGCCCACCTGGCTCTTGGTTTTCTCGTCCAGACAGGAAAAAAAAAATATCTGAGGACGATCTTCCCTTTCATTTCATCATAGCGTTCAAAAGTTGGGGAGGACTTTGACTCACAATGTAGATTGGATCTAGCCTCTGGAGGAGTGACCTATGAGCAGTTTAACGGTTTGGGTCACTCGTAGGATTTAGGCAAATGTGAAATATGCAGGGAAAGCATTACAGCGATATTTATTAAATCCCCCCCTCCCCTTTAATAGTGCCACATGCCATGCAACTCGAACGAAAGATTCCAATTTTTAGTTCATTCATAGTCATTCAAAAACTCGGAGGCGTGCGCGTGCCGGTATTCTAGTAAACGCATGTGGAAAAAGCAAGGACCAAGGAGCCGTGAGAGATTATGCTTACTAAAGTGCGTCTCTTCCTTCCTACACTCGCCTCTTGCATGCAGGAGAGGCTGGTGCGAAAACGAGGAGGGTTTCACGCGCATTCACGCTCCCTCTCACGCGCGTTCACCACCCATGCACGTAAGTGCCGAGATCAAGGAGGGTTTATATATATGCGTCCCTTGCCAATCCGGGTATGAGAGGCCTGCACGGGTCGTTTTTTCGAGCCCGACCCGTTCGGCTTGATTCGAATCATGGCCAACGTACGACCTGAAACTGGATCACCGACCGAACTCTAAGGGCCCAACCAGCAGATCGCCATAATCCGCTTAGGCCTCTAAGCTCGAGAATTCCCTGGTCCCCAATGAAGGGTTCGCTCTCCTCCAACCCGAACCTAGATTGCCAATCGAACTACATGCCTTTTCCGTGGGTCAGGTAGAATCGATCGAACCATACCATTTCCTATTCTTCGTCCGTTACTCGTTCGTTCGAAATTCCAAGGAAGGGTCTCTCTCGAATGGGAGTTCCCTCCTGACGGAACGCATTCCTTATTTTCAATTCAAAGCATGACTGCGAGAAATGCGACCATAGCAACTTGGCAACTCCCAAGCCCAGCACGTCTTCGCTGTGAAGCAATTTCCTCGTGAAGCAACGTTGCAAAGTGAATGTCCTCAATCATCAAATATGCATAAATATCTATAAATTAGTAATTATGAAGCTGCCACCTGGGTGGCTCTTTCCCGCTTTTTCAAATCTGGGGATCTTTTTTCCGGGTGTCTTCTTTCGAACCCCGAAGAAAAGTGCTTCGAAGGATATAGGCATCAGACTCCAGAAAGAGTCACCACAACGTCATATAAAAATTTAGTCGGAACTTTTTCATCAGGCCACGTATTTCCCTCACTGATCTCTTTTCTTGCTCTGGTATGAATTTAAGGGATCGTCCAGTCTGCTGCTTTTCTACCGCTCTTTTCTTCTATTTTTGGGGAGGGGGGGGGAGAATGATGTATTTGTGCCTGTCGTCCCTTTTATTCTGTTGAGCTTGATATCTTGAGTAGGAATAATAAAAAAGTGACAAGTTTACGTTCTTCCAATGGTGTGGGATGAAACTGCATGGAAGACAGCTTTGCATTCAAGCCTCCATTATTCAAATTCTCTGTGTTTTCCCGCCCTAGTCTGATCGTCAACTACTCGCAGCCGGAAAAGGAGCACTGACATTTTTTCCCATGAAATTTCGAGAAGCGCCACGGGCCAGATCGGGCCCGAGGGCCATAGGTCGAGCACCCTTGTTGTAGATGGACCCTCAAGCCTCAAGGGGGCGTCTTTCGCAGTGGAAGGGGGCGGGGGAGGCTCCTCTCACTTCAGCTTTCATGGTCCTGACCAGGCAGTTCCCTCTTGAGCCAGTGTTCGTGAAGGTCTTCAGAACCCACCCCACGCATCTCAAATCATTGTCAAGTTCCAGCTTTCTTTGCTCAACTTGTTGTCTCGTTTGTCTCTCCGGCTCCAGACATAACCATTTTCCTCCTTTCTCTCCATCCCACATTCATATCTCCGTATCTATTCTTTACTGATTCCATTCATATTGCCCCCATTTCCAAAGTTATTTCAGCTTTTCAAGTTTCCTTGACGCGAATATCCACACTAATTTGCTTTCTATTTCCATTTCAAGAGCAACCATATTGCAGATTCATTCGAGTAATGGCAGAAAGGTCTCCGACATCTCGTCCCAAGGACTCCTCCATGGACCATCCTACTTCATCCGCGAGTAAGTTTGTCTATTTGAGAATGAACATGTAAATGCATCTATATAGAAGCCAGTTATCACTTGTGTCAGAATAGTTACTCATAATTATGAATGACTCGCATTAAAATTAAATGACAATGTGCCTCATGAAAAACTGAAAATAAGCGGTCTTAATTTCATAACTTGCAGTCATGCTCCCTCTTCCCTGTTTGCATAATGATGTGATGCCTTATTTTTCTGCGCAGTGTGCGGTTTTTAATTTCACCAAGAAGTGGATACACTTCACATCCAGAGATAAGAGTATCATCGTCATGGTGAGCGAGAACAAGAATGACGGAGGGCACCCCTTGAAGATCAAAGGGAACAAGGAAGGATACCCGGGCATCAAGGCTGCAAAACCCCACAAGAATCCGAGTAACATCGAGGTAGGGTCCATTGCACCCCTCAGGAGTCTCGAAGTTAACATATTGACCGTCACCATTTTTGTCATTTGCACGCCATATAAATTTGAAAAAAGTATTTGAAAAAGTATTAATATCTATATTTCATGTTTTTATTCAGTCCCAGAAACTCGGAAAAAAATATGAAAGCAATTAGTTATATTCCGGACTCCATCATGCAATGTTAGAAATCAGCAACCGTGTGGTATTGTTCAAAGCATACCACGAGATATCTCGTACTTGGCTGTCAATGTGTTAAGGAGTAAAATCGCTTATCATTCTCCTTGCCCAAGAGATATCGAACTTTAACATATTTCGGCGATTTTATTTATATTAAATTTAAATTAAGTAAAAATTTCACGAAATAGCTTCTCCCCCTCGCTTCTTGCTCCAGAAGGAGTGTTATGAATTAGGAATAAGAATGTGTAATTTTTATACTGTCGTGCCTTTAGAAAGTGAAATCCGCTCAGTCTAATTATATGCCCTTCGGGGGAAATTTGGGTTTGAATAGTCTTGGAACAAAGAATTTCGGCCATTTCTATTTAGTTGGAGTTTGACGGCAGGATGGACACCGTGGCATTCCCTGTCACTCGGATCTGTATGAAGACCAAGATCACTAAGCTCATCATTGGAGAGTATATGAAGGAAAGGACAATTTCGCGTGTGGTGCAGGGGATCAACTTAATGATTTCGAACGTCAGAGATGGAATTGAATGTGAATCGGGCCAACGCCAAGGAGATGGAAGCCAGTTTGTATTCATTTCCATACAATTTACCTGATTCTCATGAAAGTATGTGCTGCCGCCATGAAGATGATTTTATTTTAACAAATTTGATTTCATTCTCAACAACAGGAGCAACGCCATTACAAACCCAGGCCTATCACGGCATTCTACGTCTTCTGAATCGAGATCAGAGCTGCAGTCCACTGAAGACCACACGAGAAGTGCGCGGAAAAGGTCTTGGCTGGCAGAGAGCACCCAACAGCAGCGGAAGAAAACGAAAACGCCACCAGGTGAAGCAATTCTGAACCCAGCAATGCTGGCAAAGTGCTATTTTGGTGAGTCATTTCAGTATATTTCAGACTTCAAGTTTCTTTTTTCTAATGACTTGGAAGCTCTAGTGAGAGTTAATGAAAACATGTGAAGTTGCGGATTGAGAAACAAAGATAAGTTCGCCACGGTCAGAATATTGCAAGCTTTGTGTCATTCGTATCTCCTTAACTCTTTTAAAGGAATTTGGGAGGGGCGGCACATGTTTCCTCCAAATCCCCCTATGACGACATGAGACATAGTATTTGTAGTGCTAAAATAAAAAAATGTGTCTATAGAAAAAAAACATCCAAAAGAATGTAATTGGGTTGGCACTCCACCGAACCTTCCTTAATATGGAGTAGTAGCTTTTTTCATTATAAATACAGTGAAAACTCGTTAACTCGAATCCTGATAAGTCGAAATTCCGCTTATCTTGAAGTTCAATGATTGTTCCCGGCGGAACCCCGTAGGACACCATGTTAACTTGAATTCGCTTATCTCGAATTTCCGGATATCTCGAATGAAATTTTCACTCCCTATAACGATTGTCTCACGGTTAACTAGAATTCAGGGTGAGCAGGAGGGAAAAATTTTTCTGGTGGGACTTTTCAATTTTTGAATAGAATGAATGACAAGAAACCAGTTAGGGAGGATGCTCTTTCGTTTCTTTGGCTGCTTCTCCCTCTTCCCACACAAACCTGTGGAGAGGATAAAACCTGAGGATTAAAACCGAAAGCTTCAGATTAAGCTTCGGCTATAAAAAAGACTCCAACATTCGCCCTGTCAATCTATCGTTCTCACTCCGAGCCATTCTGTCCCCTATGTCCCTTGACGTTTTTTTTTGGGGGGGGGGGATTCCTGATAACTCGAACTTCGGATAACTCGAAACGATTTGCCCGGTCCTTAAAAGTTCGAGTTAAGGAGTTTTCACTGTATGCTCAAAATAAACTGGTCTATTTGCACACTCCTTTTTAATAGTTATAGGGACAGCGGTATATGCACTGTTTCAGTTTGAAGGTCAAAGAAGGATTACGAGACCTGTTCACGCTTGATTTGAACACTTTTCCTTCCCCTGTAACGGCATCGTTGAGAAACTTTTGATGCGTGAGGCGTGAACAGGTCTCGTATTTATTTATTTTCAACCAATACATTCCAATAACGCCTTCTATCTGCATGATAATTCGGACAATCGGGCACATAAGAAAATTTCCTCATGAGATGGTCTTCTTTCTCACCTGCTGAAGGATGTTAATTCGAAAGTATGATTCTTTAATACATGGCTTTAATCTGAGAATCTTTTGATGAATCCGTGGTCGTTTATATTCAATAACTTTTGTTCATTCTAGGTATCCATGAGATCCCCCTGTCAAATGTGGAGCCCAGCCCTGCTGCTTCGAGGTCATTCTCAGAAGACATGAAAGCCACCCTGAAAAGAAAATTAGCGTCAGGAGAGGATATGGGGGGCTAGGTTCCGATTGTCATCGCGTCTCACGACTTCCAAGGGACATTTGTTCCCGCCAACGTAAGCTAATGCATGGGCGTAACATATTTTCACCTTGTAGAATCATGGAGCTCTTTTATCATTAATTGTCGTTAAATGTTCTCTCATCATGAATGAATGTTCAAATCAAATAAATTACTCCGAGAAATGGAGAAAGTCTCTTAGCATAATCAGAAAACGAGATTGCTCCTTTGTTTTATGTCTGAAAGGTCAGGTGCAATTTTCTTTGATTTGTTGCTTTTTCAGAATTATATATGCGTTAAGAAATGGTTAAGAAATTCAATCTCGCCTTTAATTACCAAAAGATAGGGAAACTTTTCCCATTAATTTGAATTGTTAAAGATGTTCTCCCATCTGTAGCTCATGCCTCTTCATCGATTTCTCGAAGTCCGAGGCATCAGATATTTAAATTTCGTTTTACATAGTTTAGAAAATTTACTAGGTATAATGTACGTAATACAAGTATTTGTTTATTATATCCACAGAGGCATGCATACCATTATGAGGTGGTAGCTGGCCAACATGTCCTCATGGCACGGAAGGATCTACACGAAGGGAAGAATGGGAAGGCTACCTGCATCTGTGCTGTTTACATGGGAGTCGATGCAGTGGGAAAAAGGATCCTGACGCTTCACAGCGCCAAACTTGAAGGAATTCCTTATGATGTACTTGATGTTGTAAGCTGTCAGGTTCTTCCTTTTAAGAATATTCTCAAACTAATCTCAAGGAAATAAAAAAAAACTGCAAAGAGGAGCTGAGGTGCTTGCAATACGATTGTGATGAATTCAGTTCGGCCAGTATTATTGCTTTCTCTCGTTAAAACTCTATTCTCCAAACGTACCAAATATTAGAAGTTTCAGGAAGTGAGATATGGCGATTTGACCATGTCCTATCTTCTTACAGATACAGAAGTGCATGGAGCTGCACAGGGCTGCAGAGAACTCAGCAATAATTAGAAGCGCCTATAAGAACATCGTCAAGGTAAATATTTATATTACAAGGCTTTGCAATAGACACTGGATCATTCATTGCTCCATCGTCAATAGTGATGCCCCTTGAAGTGATCATGTTTCCCATGTTTTCTTGTTGATCTATTCCTGAATCACTACTTCTCATAAGTGTACACGTAAAATAGAAATAAATCAATAGAAATCAATGACAGCATTTATTTATCATTCCAGGGCAGTAGGACTTATCAAGTCCTCAACAATTTGATCAACCTGGGAGAAGAAGCTGTTAAGGAATTTCTGTAGGTGACGAGAGAAATTGAGGAGGAGCCAGGACGAGTGGCATGAAAGCTATATTGTCTGCGGAAGCTTGGGAATCCCCATATCAAAAGAAGCGACTTCTTGGTGAGGTTTATTTATTTATCCTTTTAAATGACCCCATTTGATGTGAAATATTTATCCATGTTATATTGGGGATACAAATAAGTTTTGAGGGATTTACAAAAGATGGCGTAACTAGCATTAAATCGCATCGGACCATCTTGTAACTATATTCATGTTGAAGCGTCATCATTTCCCGCTAAAAATCAGTATGTGTCATGTCGCTGAAGTGTAAACAACATACTTTCTTTGTGCTCTAACCATGTCAACCTTTG